CTCTCCTCCCCACAGCTGCTTTGCACACACACATGCATGCCAGCACCAGTGTGAGTGCTCCCCCATCCCTTCGCACATGCGCAGGAGCACCTGCATACACATGCACATGCCCACACACCCCTTCACGCAGGCACACAGGCGCCTGCGTGAAGAGGTGGGGGGGCGCTCATGCCGGCACTGGAACGCGTGTATTCCCATGTTTTCCTGTGGTTTCTTAGCACAAAAAAAAATCTATGGAAAAGAAAAGTATTTAACACATACTCAGTATGCTTTTTGCTTACTACTGCTAGGAGCCCCCCATCCAGAACCACCCAGACACATGGATCATGGTGTAAGAGTTTGTTGACCGGAGCCTCTTTCATCTCACAAAGCTTGTGCTGCAATCATGCTATTAGACTTAATGGTGTCACAAAGCATGTTGTTCTTATTGCTGTTGGTTTACTGGAAAAGTCCAATGTAACCAATTTACAGCTGGAAGTTACCAGTTGATGGGATACACTATTCTTTTCTTTCTTTTATTGGGGACTACAGGTCCCAGAATACTTTAGCCATGACCATTAGCTGGGGCATTCTGGGATTTGCAGTCCAAAATAAAAAGTTCAGTTCTCTGGGAAGATGAAGTCAGCACATGGGATCAGAATTCTGGGATTTGCAGTCCAAAATAAAAAGGTCAGTTCTGTGGGAAGATGGTCAGCACATGGGATCAGAAACTCGTCATCATCTTAGAACTGTGGAGTTGGAAGGGACCCTATGGATCATCAGGTCCAGCCCCATCATGAGCCCCCATGAATCCATGAGGATCTTCCATCAGGAAGCCTTTCTTCATTTGTCGGAAGGGACCCTATGGATCATCAGGCCCAGCCTCACCATGAGCCACCATGAATCCATGCGGATCTTCCATCAGGAAGCCTGTCTTCATTTGTAGTGACCAGTGAAAATGTGTGATGATGAGGTTATATATGCCAGCATGATCCCTTGCCTCCCATGTTTCAAATGTTCAAAAGTCTGAGTCTTGCACAGAGCTACTGTTAAATGCAAGTCCTTTGTACATGTACACACTTTGCATTTATGGACTGATCCTAAGCTTTTGTTTTCCCCGATCATTTCATCCTCTTGGTTTGTAACAATTCAGTTATGGCTTCGGTTAAGGCAATAACATTGGTTTATTAGAGGTGCTTTGATTTTTCTATAAAAACTTCTTCCATGTGAATAGAAGTCACATAGTCTGCTTTACAACAACTATCAAAGAAATTAACATGCACACAAACAAAAGAGACCAAAAACCTATTGTTTCCTCAAGGAATAAACCTCCACTATTTAAGAACAATGATACCAAAGAGTTTTATACAGTATATTTATTTTGCATTATGTTTATGCTATCCTCCTTGTGGCTAAAAAAAGTATATACAGTACAGGGCCCTCAGCTGGTTCCCATCCCAGCACCCTGGCTACTGGACATGTTGAGCTTCAACTCAGTTCTTGTACCATTCATTCATTCATTCATTCATTCATTCATTCATTCATTCATTCATTCATTCATTCATTCATTCATAAATATACCGCCCATCTGACCAATGATACCTTGGAACCACTTGTGAATAACATGGATAAAGTTTGGTTTTAAAAAGCGTTATGATTAAAAAAACACGCAGAATAAAAATTGGTTTTCTCCCTTGTGTGTGCATGTTTGCAAGCAGTTCATAGTAAATAAAATGATCACTTGGTCTGCATTAAAAACATTAAAGAACTTTTACTGTTTAAAACATGTGTAGAGTAGAATAAACTCACAGTGCTTCGAACATTTTGCCGTATTATACATAAATTCTCACTTGACTTAGTTATCTTAATACATCATCCTTAAACTTTGCAGACTCTAAGTGGCAACTAGCTCATTTAACAGCTAAGCCTAACAGTCTCATCCTAACACTATTACGTATTTGACCATATCAACTATGATCTGTTTTTTCACACATCTAACACCTATCTGATCACATATTTAACATCAATTATGTATTCAGCTCTATCTGACAGACTGCTGATTGTCACTTGCTTTATATATCTATCTAGCTGATGCCAGACAGGTTCTGATTGGTCAGAATGCTTCCTTATGCAAATATCACATGCCAGTCTTTCCCATATAAGTGCATATGCACACACATATATGTATGTTCATGTTGTACGATTACATTTTCCAAGACTGTGAAATGTAGGCACTCGTCATGACTGTCCCCTTAGTGAAGCCCCCAAGGGCAACCCAGCAGTGCAAGCAGTAGTGTTCATCCTTATGAGGGAACCAGTTCTAGCACTTTTCTTTCCTAATAGGAGCAGGCCTTTTGTAAAGCAAATGGATCTTAATGGAACAAGACCAAGTCATTCCCCAAATCCTTTGCATAATAGCAAAGATTGCTTACAACAACACAAGGGTGCAAGGAAAACCTTTCTCCTCCACACAACATCTGTGAGGGTTGCCGTTAAACTCTGAAGTTCCAAGGAATCATGGAGTAGAGAAAGCAGATGGAAGAAAAGCTTCTTGAAAACACAAATGGTTTCACTGTGTGAACCCTGGTGCCGCTATAGCACTGACTCTGAGTTATGTACAGTGGTGCCTCGCAAGACAAATGCCTCGCAGGACAAAAAACTCGCAAGACAAATGGTTTTGGCAATGGGGGTTGATGACTGACATGACAAATGTTCCTATGGCCATGCTTCGCAAGATGAATGTTTTCTGTTTTTTGTTCCTGCCTCATGTTTGCTGATTTTTAAATGTTTTTCTATGATGTTTAAAAGTTTTTGATTGGAATTTTTTAAATAATCTGCACAATATGTATGGCTTTAAAGAGCAATTAATAAACCCTTTATAAACCAAATGTGACTTTGTTCCGACTTTTTTTGGCAATATGGGAAAACGCGTTTCGTAAGACGAATTTTTCGCAAGACAACATTAACAGCAGAATGATTTAAATTTGTCTTGCGAGGCGCCACTGTAAAGACTAAAATGAGAGCTTAGTCTTCAGAACAAATTCTGACTGTTATTTTCTTGGAAATTATGAAACCTGGCCTGGGATTCCAACACAGAGAATTCCCTTCAATGAATCTTCTTAGCTCTAGCTTATTCTGGTCCTTTTGCTGGGCTCTGCCAGCCACGACCTGCCAATAATATGGAATGCTTTGTAGTACATAACGTTTCTCTTTCTGTCTCTTAATCCATCTTGCAACATAGGCATAACTCTCCATTGCTTGCTCCTCTCAGTGTTTTCAGCCAATGCATAAAGTCATAGCAATGACTGACAGACCAGATGTCTGTGCAGGAGACATTCTAATTTATTGGGGGGAGGGTTAATCAGGTGAAGTTAATTCAGGAGAGGGAGATTGGAATCCTCAGAAATGCAGAATTGTAGCATCCTCCTTCTTATACAGTATCCAGTCCAGGATGTGGATGAATTCACACATGATATGAAAAAACAACCACCACGACCTATATGTAGAATCTTTGAAGTTTCGCAGGAGCATATTTAGGAGGGTTGGTCCCAGCACCACATAGTTGCACAAAGTATATTCTCCTTTAGGGAGCTAATCCCTCTCATATGTGTTTTTCCTCTTTTCCTGCTGCCTTCCGCTTTCTTCAGCATTCTCTTTTCCAGAGAATCCTGCCTTCTCATGATGTGCCCAAAGTAGGACAACATCAAATGTAAAAGCTGGAAGTATTTAGGGATACAACAAGACACACTAATCACCCATCTCCTGAAAAGGACAAAAGCTGATCTCACAGCCATAAATATTCAACTCCCAAGCAAACTACACCAGAGCACAGAGTGCTGTCCTCTGAAGATGCCGGCCACAGAGACTGGCGAAACGTCAGGAAGAACAACCTACAGAACACGGCCAAAGAGCCCGAAAAACCCACAACATCTATTTGGGGATAATTAAATCATGCAGAGAAGGCCCTGTGACCCATTTAAAAAGTGAGTGGCAATGTTCCAAAGTAGAAAGGAACGTCCACCCACTTCTGGATCTATTTTTTTGCTTGGGTGGGTCTCTACGGCCCCCAGATGGTTTTGAGGTCAAGCACTGGCCCACAGACCCATCCAAAATTACCCACCCAAGCTTCGCCCATGGGTAGCTTGGGATCAGAGCAGGAGGGGGCCTTACCCCAACATTTCGAAAGGACATCTTCCCTCCCTGAGTCACAAACCGCATAATTTTCCAGGTGGCTCTTTCTGGGCTTTTCTCTTCCTCTCTTTTCCTCTGTTCCTCTCTTTTTCTAAATGAACCACAGTCTCTATTTCCTGGGGTAGCAATTGGGAAGCAGGCATGAAACTAGACAGCCAGGCATTCTCCAGCACAATTCTCTGGTCGAGATTATTCTCTGCCACAAATATCCCACTCCAGGCAGCATTTAGGCACTATCAGTTTTAGAACTGAAGGGGGATTCCATGGGATGCTTTTCCTAATGAATCAAGTTGCATTTGAGGTGATAACATGGGCATCATCCTCCCAAGGTCAGATTCAGGCCTGGCCACCCAGGAGCATTTCCTGGGTATTCCAGACTCTTTGGGTGTCTGTGATCTTCTTCAGTGCCTTTTGAAAGGAGACCCACTTAGGTCAGTGCTAGGATCTGGAGCTTCCTGCACACAGGAAGCAGAAAGCCTTGTATAGTTTTTGGCAGATTCTTCTTTCTTTCTTTCTTTCTTTCTTTCTTTCTTTCTTTCTTTCTTTCTTTCTTTCTTTCTTTCTTTCTTTCTTTCTTTCTTTCTTTCTTTCTTTCTTTCTTTCTCCCCTCTGCCTGCCTGCTGCCATTTCACCACTGCAGCTCCATCATCCATTTTTAAAGATACATATACAGGATGACCATTCTTTTAATTCCTCATTGTCCCAGCTCTTAGCTCTCTTGCATGTGTGTGTGTGGGCTTTGAATTAATCCTTTGGGGAAAGGGGTGTGTGTGTGTTTCCCTCCCCCCTCCTCAGCTACACTGCCACACAGACACACACACACACACACAAGCAGGCACAGAAAGGGCTCCCTCCTTGCTTTATGGGTGTTAACTCCAATGTAGCTCGCACAGCCCACTATAGTTTTTTCCTATCCTTTTTCTCTCTCCCCCTGTGTGTGTGTGTGTTTCTCTCTCTCTCTATCTGTGTCTCTCTGTCTCGCTCTCACCCGCCGGTTTCCCCCCCCCGTCCCGCCCCCAGGCATGAGAAGCTGCAAGATGGTCCGGGTGGTGAGCGTTCTGGGTCTGGTGATGCTGAGCGTCGCTCTGTTGATTTTGTCCTTCATCAGCTACGTGTCCCTTAAAAAAGACAATATCTTCACCACCCCCAAATATGCCAACACGGGGGTGCCAAGAATGTACATGTTCCACGCTGGATTCAGGTGAGTCCTGCCGGCATCATGAGCATCATCCTCATTATGATGATGGTGATCCTGTATTATGATCATTTCCTTTTCCAGGGAGTGGGGAGGATGGTGGGGGGTTGGTCTGGGCAAAGGGTATGCATGCTGAGTAGAGGAGCAGGGGACGGGGACAGGGGAAAGGGAGAGAAATACCATTCTTGAATGCATAACCAGGGGCAAAGTCCTCCGCCCTTGGATTTTCTGGCAATCCTAAAACAACAAATCCCCCCCCTTTTTTTTATGTTTTGTGTGGAAATCGATCAGATCACGCCGGTTTGGCCTCAGTGGCCGGATCAGGGGGACGAAGAGGGGCGGCGGCGGCGGCCCAGGCGAGGAAGACTCCAGGTCTTAGAGACATAGGCGCAGAGATGATATTATAAATATGATGCGGGTCCCGGTGAGGCGGATCATGGTGGCCGCCTGCCCGATTCCCGTGTCTTCCAGAAGATGAGGGGGTGGCGCAGGCGCCCTGTTCCTTCGCCTGCGAGCAAAGGCTGGGGTGCGGAAGATTAACGTTACTTTTCGAGGGGAATCTTCAGCACGCCAATCTTGAGCACAACAGATATAGAAAGGAAAACCAAGGGGGATTTCTAGACTGCGCCTCTCCCACCCTTTCCTTCCTCGCCCCCCATCCTTTCCTCTTCCTCCCCCGTTCCCTCCTGCTTCTTTCTGCTCTGAGGGTCTACTCTATACCATGCAGGACTAGGAGAGGCGATGGGGGGGAACAAGCTCCTTTTGTGTCCTGTTGTTGTTGTTGTTGTTGTTGTTGTTGTTGTTGTTGCTGATGCTGATGGTGTTTCAAAGGGGAGGTTGCTGGACCTCCCCATCCCCCCCCCCCATCTTGTCTACCTGCAAAATTTCTCGGCCCAAACCAAAACGGGCCAAGGGGAGGCCCGCCGGGCAGAGATCGGGGGGAATCAAATTGGGGGGGGAGGGGGGAGGGGGCGGCTCCAGCCGAGAGGGAGGCGGAAGTCACGAACGGGATTCACGCGGCCGCCTTCCTCGCCTTCTGGGCCCACAGGCCGGAAAACACGCGAGGGGGGGGAGGAGGGAGGAAATGGTAGGGGCTGCCTGGGCTCCCCCCGCACAGAAAAGCCCTCCGCCCATCGGCACCCTAAAAGCGAACGCTCCCCGTGGGGATGGGCGCGCAATGCTGGACCCTCTTCCCCTTTCCCTATTCCCGAGAGTAGGAAGCCTCGCTGGAAGCGCTGGAGACCGAAGAGGGAAGGGGCGGGAGCTGCTGTCCATGGTCCTGATTTGGAGATTCACTCGCTCTGACCTCTTCTTCTTCTTCTTCTTCTTCGCTTTGAATCCCAGTCCTTTCAATCCATCCAGGAGTCCTGTTCCGGGGGGCCCAAATTCTAAAACCAGCCTTGAATCAGCGCTCCCCTGTCCACCCAGCGCTTCCCTGGCACTTTCCAGATGTACAGGACTAGAAATCTTTTAATTCCCAGTATAGTGGGAAGGATAAGAAGCCACAGAGGCATAAAAAGATGCCCTACATTGAGCAGCGGAGGTCCAACCAGAGCTGAGTTTTAGTCCAAAATTTATACCCAGTGTGCTGAGACCATTTAGGAGATAGGGCAGTGCACTTCGTATAACTCCTGTAAAGTTGGATCTAAATGATTTACCACTGCTACAAGAGGAGTCATTTGCCTCCATTTGGATTAATGGCCCATCTCTCTTGGCCTGTCTAACCCAATACTCTAGATACTGACCAATTCAGTATTCAGAATTCAGGCAGGAGTGTTTTCAGCCCTACCAGGAAATGTGAAGACTTGAATCTGGTCATGTCTGCATAGAAGCCATATGGTCCGTCCCTAAGCTACAGGCTGGAGATGATGACATTGATAATGCAAGATATCTAAAGGGTGCCAAGTAGGGATAAAGTGGTTTGAGGTATTTACACTGGAAATCAAACAGATCTTAATAATCCACAGGGAGAACTATTTATTTTTGACTTATTGGGCACAGAGGTCCTTTCGAGTCAACATACTAGGCTATAGGAATCAAAATTCCGATAGAGTAAGAATTAGTATGCGTGTGCATGTGTGGATGTCCATGTGTCCGTGTGCATACGTGCGTGTATACTGTCTCTCTTTCCCCCACCCTCTCTTTCTATAACACATGTATATATGGTCTACAGATAGCCGCTACTGGGTGCTTTTGTGTTATTATCTTTACATTGCTGTCTAATTATATAGGGTGGCTTGTAACATGGTATTTTCATCATTCGCACTAATTATTAGTTTTTATTTTTAAAAAAATCCTAGGCAAAATTTCCTTATATTCCTTGCAGAGAATCATCATGCTTATATGATAAATTTGCCACGTGTTCGTAGAATGATATAAACTTAGAGCTTCAAGGCAGCCCAAAGGCCCTCTAGCCCAAAGCCTTGTCAATGTCCACTGTTCAGTAGGTGGCATTCCAGCCTCTGCTTAAAAATGCTTATAGAGGAGAATCTGAGCTATTCTAATGTTTAGCAGCTCAGCCTCTCAGGAGATTCTTGCTAGTGCTTTGTTGAATGTTGTCTTCTTGTAATATCGAAGCCACTGGTTCAGGTCTTGCCCTCTAAATTAGCACTATGTTATAGCCATGTCATGGAGAAGACTTTAGGCTTCTGGGTATTTCAGGTGGCCTCTAGTGAGTAAGTCAGTGCATTATTTCCCATTCACTCCTTGAAATCAAACATTTCTGTAGCAACTCTAGCAACCAGGTCTTCTGCAGCTGCATAAGTTTTAATGTGCTTGAACCTACTATTATATGCTTCTGATTAAAGCTCATGCATTTTAACAGTGAGAAGCTCACATGTAGCAGATCAGACCTTATGACTACACCCATATGGACATGAGGCAAAGTGATTTTTGCACATGTTTCAAGCATTTTAGAATGTGCAGATCTTAGCTATGTAAAACTCCCATAGAAATAATTATATGTTGTATATGTAGACAAGGATACAGAGACAAGAATTTATCATCAGACCTGAAGATGTATGCCTACATGGAAGAGTTTCTTAGAAAAAATATAATGTTTGCATTAGCTTAACTGATTTATTGTTGCATGTATTATATGAACACCCTCCTTCACAAGAACTATTTAAAAGATCTGTGTCTTTTTCTTGAGAAAAAGAGACATGTTCCTACTGAAATAAGACTCTTACCTGTGCCAAACAGGTAATTATTGTGGTGGTATAGTTATAAAACATTGTCACCAAATAGGCTCACCGGTGCCTAAAATTTGATTCAGTGAGGGGGGAAAAGAGCAAATGTTAAATCAATTTAAATGGTGCTAGATTTTTGTCAAGAAAACTGTATACAAAGAGTCTATATTGATTCTTTTGTTTAATTAGTTAATTTTTTATACTGTCAGGTTTTAGTTTTGCCAGTTTGCACTTAGGAAAAAGAAAGGTAGGATAGAAATGGAAAAATGTAACTTTCTCATTCCTGTTATGCACATAATAAAGTTGGGCTTTGCTTGTGAACATTCCACAGTTCACTTTTAAACTTGGTTAGTTTGTTTAAACTCAGTTCATTTGAAGCCAAAGATTCCTGCAGGCCATCAGAAACTGACTTTACATGTTTGCATAACTTTTCGTAAATCTGAATGTACCTCTATATTGTTCCAAGTAAAAAGCTCATCCCATTAGCTTTTTACTTGGAACAATACTCAAAGCCCACCCAAAGAGTGAAATCAAAACTCCCATCATCACTGTGTACTATCTGGGAATTCTGGGAGATGTAGTCAGGACTATACACTAATCAGTAGGAGACTGTGCTAATCTATACTGTGGTTGTAGTGTCCAGGAGGATCTGCTACATGATTCTGCAGTGTATCTATTCACAGCTTCCTGTATTTTTGCAGAAATTCTTATATGTCCTTCTTGGGTATAAATGGTGCTGTTTTAGGGCCAACACTCAGATATCTGAAATTGCTGTTAGCATATATATGATCTCCAACTACAGAGAAGAGAAGCGCTTAGGGAGCTTGGATCAGAAACATTTGAGTTTTTTGAACTGCACCTCCCTTAGCTATTATAGCCATAGAAGAAAGCTCTTGGGGGTGAATGGAAGGAAAATGATCAAGAAAGAGGAACTGAGGAGGTAAGGGAAGCAGCTAAAAGTGTGGAGCACAAAAATTAGGATAGAAGGAGGAGGAACACAAACATTGCTTAATAGTAAGTTGGACCCTTATTGGATACTTATTTCTAAAAGTTTAAAGCAGGAATTTTTCAAACCCGGTCTGGAAATACTGGGAATTGAACACTGGAATTTCTCTCCACAAAGAACATGGTCTAACGCTGTGCTACATCCCTTTCCAATATTCTGACATTTCTTCATGGTCTCCCGTCCAATACCAGCCCAATCCTGCTTAGTTTCCAAGGTCAGAGAAGACTGGATAGGTTCAGGTGATACATGGCATGCTTCCATTATATCACACAGTTTTTAGGCATCCATCTCAACCAGTAATAGAACACAGTGGTCTCCCATCAGAACAGAAAACAGCCCAGTGCCTGTATGTAGTGGAATCTAGTAGTATAAGGTATCTATAACTTTTGGTCTGTAAGATTTTGAATGCTCACCCCATGGGGGAGGTTGGTGATTTCTTTGTATATAGAAACACAGTACAGTATTATGTGTCTTTAACAATGCATTCAGACCAGCTGTAACTCAGTTATCCACCTGGAGTAGAAATCTGTGAGATGCATCTAAGCTTTGATTTCATCATGTGCCATAGATCATCTTTGTCTGTCTGACAATAAAGATAACCTGGATTTGTTCATTATTCTAGGCCATAATAGATTGTTTGTTATGTGCAATCAAATCCAAACTCTTCTTGTACCCTAAGAGGGTTTTCAAGGTAAGTGAGGATTTTGAGGAATGTTGTTACCAGTTCCACCCCTCTCAATGAGTTTCCATGGCAGAGCCAGGGAAGCATACCTGGGTCTCCTGAGTCCTAGTCCATTACTCTATTTACTTCACTAGACCAGGTATCCTAAAATAGGTTAGTTGGGCCCTTAAAGGTTGGGGTGCACTTACTGATGGTGTGGGTATGTGATCCTTTTCAGGTCCCAGTTTGCACTGAAGTTCCTAGATCCTTCCTTTGTACCCAATACCAACTCCTTGAACCATGGGCTTCAGAATAAAGCTCCCAAATGGAAATTCAACAGAACAGCGTTCTTGCAGCAAAGGTGAGAGAGATGGAGAAAAACCCAGTAAAACAATCTAAACACTTGAAGTCTTTAAGCATTGAGACTGCAATAGCTTTATTATTTTATTATTAGCCTAATTATTTGGCAACACACAGTGTGTGTGCTCTTGGGAGTTTTACAGAATATCAAGCTGCATTCAGATTCAGCTAGGAATAAATTACCAAAGCTTGAAGAAAGGTTTTGTCCTGCAATTCAGCAGTTCTTATGTTTCCAAATGTTTTAATTGCCTCTTAAGCCATTTCAGAGAAGAAGAGAGAGAGGTTATACCAGGACACGAAGCCAGAATTTGTGCTATTATTCCCGCAGATCTGTAGCAAAATACTTGGTTGTTTTTTTTCAAAAGAGTGTGTTCCATTCCTGATTCTGTTTCAACATTTATTCGACAAATTCCACAGTTTCTTCCATGCAGTCCATTTATAGCTTTCTGCAATACCCCTCCTTCCCCTGCTCTCAGTTACACTGATGGCTTTCAGAAACATCTAGATCAGCCCTCTAGAGAGGCTGAAAGAGAACTTCCTGGAACTTTCAGTCTTCCAACTGACTGCAGAGTGTGAGACATTACAGTCCTGCATCTCTAGAAGTCACACTTCGATGGAAGGTTAGTTTATGCAGCACATTATTCCATTGATTCTCTCCTTAGCCATTAATTTTCCTTTGGAGTTTAGAAGGGGAAGATTTTCCAGTTTCCTCCAACTCTTCCCATTGGTGTAGAAAACGTCAGAATCCTGAAAATACAGAGGCATCACGTCATAGGACTGACATCATATTGTGGGTCTATAAATGGCCAGATTCGACTCAATCCATTGCCTCCCTGCCAAGAGCACACACTGTGTAGAATACAAGCAAGTGGAAATGCTGGGTTTTCCCCCTTATGGTTTTATCATGTTGTCTCTAGTACATTTGAAAAGAGTCACTTTTGAACTGTCAGTGCTTCTGCTTGATTGCTGCCAATTCTATCCAAGATGCAGTCTCTATCCCACACTATTATGAAAAACCGGCATTTTGATCCAACTGAATGAACTATATGGGCATAATGCTAATGTATCCTTAGCTAATTAGGAGATCTCTTCGAGACTATATATTATGTTTTGTTTGGTTTGCAACTTAATGTATTTTTGCTTGTAAAATGTCTTGGAAATGACTGAGGCAGCCTTAAAAAAATGCCTATAATAGATTTAAAGATTAAAAAAAATTGCATGCTTCTTCCCAACATCCATAGTTCCTTGGGCAAATTTCTCTGCCGACCCCCCAATAATCACAGCTAAAGGTTATGTTGGCACAGAATATAATCACATGGAAAGTCTAACCAAGTTTCCAGTTTAGCTAAACTTTTCAAGTTTCTGGTTTAAAAGACAGCTAGTTGTTCTTAACCATGGCTAATGTGGTTGTGAACTTTTTTCTTAACCATGGTTGAAGCAAGGAGGGTAGAATTTGCTCCTGAAAGTAGCGGAGCTTTGAGAAATATGCATATTCTCAGAGCTTCTTATTGACCTTGATCTTGATTGAGAGAGAACAAAATCCTATTCAGTTATTTCCTCCAGGGACAGACCTCCCATGTTTCAAAGGAAGCTTACTGCCCCTCTCCTGTCCTCCCCATTGTCAATTTCCACACATAAAAAGATACGTGTCTGCAGAGGAGAGGCTCCTGCTCCTGTGTAAGCTAACCATATGAGTGAAAACCTCTATTTTCCTGGGCTCTTTCTTCTCTGTAGGGCCTGTACTGGAGCAGGAAAGACTCCTTTGCAGCACATAGCTTTGTACATGTAGAAAGTGACAACGGAATGAGGAGAGGATATAGAATTCTCTTAAAGTTTGGTGAATCTATCGATCTGGGTGACTGGTAAACTAGGGCTCCTACACAAGGTCAGGAAAAAGCACAGAATTACCAGAAATTACTGCGTATGATTTTCAAGGAACAAGACGTTCAGCTGTATCAGACACTTCCAGCCCCAAGACACCTTCTTTGGGGGTGAGCCTCTAGAGTCAGGGAAAATTAACTTAGGTGAAATAAGGCACAAAGCTCTGGGATCAAAGGGGAAATGGGGATATGGGGAAGAAGCAAGCAGTTTTGTATCTGGGGTCAAAGTGGGCATGTTGACGGATTCTTTTACAATATCATTGGGCTAGCACAGCGAAATGGGTAGATGGTGGATTCCATGGCTTTTAAAATTTGAAAGGCAGAAGGAAACACAATAGCATTTGGGTTAGGCATGTCATCAGCTCAGATTCCATTTTGATGTACTTTTGTATGGCAGACAACAGCACAATATGAAATTTCATTCAGCGGCCAAGAGTCTCCTCCATTTCAATTTGGTTGTTGCATCTAGCTGTCAGAAGGTTACAGGGCTGACTTGTTTCCATGGAATCTTCCTGCCGTCTTCTGTGCGCTGCACGGCTAGCTACTCCAAGACAAATTGCTGTCAGAGAAGAAAACTCCCACCAAGAGTATCTGTTAAGAGACGGTGAATGAGTACCTGAGGCTTTGTGCTGCTAACAAAGGCTATTAGAGGGGAAAACCTTGCAAGTGTCTTAATTATCATATGGAATAACTGGGCTTTAAAATGAAGCTGGTTAGCATAATTGTGGCTAAAGTGTTTGCAGACATATTTCTTAACAATGATTAACAGAGTTGGGAGCATTGTGTTTAGAAAGCAATTAGTTATAATTATGGGTCCAGGGCCCCCAAATGTTATTCGCTACTGTTACAGATGCCATTTCAAAAGTCAGATTTTACCTCCTTGTTTTTCAAAAATAACTGCAGTAGTTAGCTTTTCAGTTGCTTTAAAAAAATCTGGATGTGACAAAACTGGTAGTACACAACTGTCCCCCTGCCCACCTCCTTGTTGCCTCAGCACCCATACTACCACACAAAGCATCATCATGATGCACGCAATACTACTGTGGTGTTTCGTGAAATGATTCTCCCTAACTAGAAGAACAACTGAAAAGTTACAGTTATCACACAAAAGGAATGGAGCTGCCCCTCATCAAGATATAATTGCAATCTAACTCAGCTATAATTTCACCATTGTAAAATGAATTACTTGCAACTAAATGTTTGTAGGGACGTGGTGGCGCTGCGGGCTAAACCGCAGAAGCCTGTGCTGCAGGGTCAGAAGACCAAGCAGTCGTAAGATCGAATCCACGCGACGGAGTGAGCTCCCATCGCTTGTCCCAGCTCCCGCCAACCTAGCGGTTCGAAAGCATGCAAATGCAAGTAGATAAATAGGGACCACTTTGGTGGGAAGGTAACAGCGTTCCGTGTCTAAGTCGCACTGGCCATGTGACCACGGAAGATTGTCTTCGGACAAACGCTGGCTCTATGGCTTGGAAACGGGGATGAGCACCGCCCCCTAGAGTCGAACACGACTGGACAAAAATTGTCAAGGGGAACGTTTACCGTTTACGTTTTAAATGTTTGTAACCAATTACTGCCAAGACCTGATGGTTAACATGCATTTAACTATTTGAAAACTATCAAAAGAGTTTTGAATAGTTGTACGTGTCATGCCAATAATGAGTCTGTAGACATCGCCACCATTCTTAGCCTCTTATTAAAGACAAAGGTTAGAGGTAGTATGGAGAAGATCTCTAGAACACATTTATATCTATCATAACAACTGAACAGTCCAAGTTTCTTCCAAAGAATCCTGAGAATGTTAATTTAGAAGCAGTGCTAAAAGTATCTGCTCTTAGAAGACACAACACTCCTTCTCATAAAAATACAAATAGATCTCCCAGAATTCTTTGGGAGAGCCACTTGTTAACATAATTTAAGTCCTATAGACCTCCTTTAAATGTCTCATGTAACTGCATGCAGTTATGTAGGAAACCTACATAGGAACAGACCCCTGGGGTGATGTTTGAATAAGAAAACAGCCAGCAGGGGAAGAATTATGCACTTCTCTCACCCTCCCCTGTCCCCCACTGCAACCTTCTAGGAATGATTAATTTTTCACATTTAGAAAGACAGAGACTTTGCTCCAGACCTTTGAGGATAACAAGCAATTTCTTATTTTACTTGTGTTTCTTTATTTATACCCTGCCTTTCTGCAAGTTCAAAGGACTCAAGGCAGCTTAGAAAACAGTGGTAGTGGGGATGAAAATGCATAAATTAAGGTATTAAAAATTCTGTAAAATCTATGATATTAAAAACTATTATGATTAAAACAACTTCCAAACAAAAATAAAGAACAAACAACAGCCTCACAAACAGTGTGTTGCAGTAATCCAAGCAAGATATGCCACATTTTTCCGTGTATAAGATACCCTCATGTATAAGATGTCCCCCACTTTCTAACAGAAGGTTAAGAAATTTAAGTGGGGCTTAGCAAGTGTAAAGGTATCAAAGTGCTGCAGGATCACTTTGATCCCTGCTTTCTCCCTTCGTGCTAAGCCCCACGGGGCTTAGCAAAAGGAGAGGGAAAGGGATCAAAGCAATCCCGCAACTGCACGATCATTTTGATCCCTTTTCCCCTTATACAGCCATAGGATTGCTTTGATTCTTTCCCCCTTCCTTTTGTTAAGCCCTATGGGACTTAGCAAGCAAAGGGGAAAGCAGGAATTAAAGCAATCCTGCAGCGCTTTGATCCCTGCATTCCTTTTGCTAAGGATTAGCAAGTGGAGGGGCAAACAGGGATCAAAGCCTTGCAGAAACAATTTGATCCCTGCTTTTTCCTCCTCTTGTTTTTGTACTCTCCTCAGCTTACTTCCGTGTATAAAACGACCCTCAATTTTTAGTCTAAAAATTTTAGACAAAAGTATGGTCTTATACACAGAAAATACAGTAAGTAAGGCATATACATCACTATAGCCTGATCAGACATCTCTGGAAAAAGGTGCAATTTGTACAGTAGCTTTACCTGTGCAAATGTCCACTTGGCTGTCACCGAAACATTAACATCCAGTGTACTGGATAGAGCACGAAACTTGTGCTTCAAGGTGGGTTGAGATTCAAATCCTTGTTTAGGCAAGATACA